TGGCCGGTAGCGGCGAAAAATCGCTGCAAAAATCGCATAGTTTCTGGCCGCTAGCGGCGAAAATCGCGCGGTTTTTGGCCGGTAGCGGCGAAAATCGCCCGATTTTTGGCCGCTAGCGGCGAAAATCGCACGGTTTTTGGCCGCTAGCGGCGAAAATCGCGCTATTTTTGGCCGGTAGCGGCGAAAATCGCGCGATTTTTGCCCGCCAGCTGCGAAAATCGCATGGTTTTTGGCCGCTAGCGGCGAAAATCGCGCGGTTTTTGGCCGGTAGCGGCGAAAAATCGCGAAAATCGCGATTTTTGCCCGCCAGCTGCGAAAATCGCATGGTTTTTGGCCGCTAGCGGCGAAAATCGCGCGATTTTTGGCCGGTAGCGGCGAAAATCGCGATTTTTGGCCGCTAGCGGCGAAAATCGCGCGGTTTTTGGCCGGTAGCGGCGAAAATCGCGCTATTTTTTCCCGCCAGCTGCAAAAATCGCATAGTTTCTGGCCGCTAGCAGCGAAAATCGCGCGATTTTTGGCCGCTAGCGGCGAAAATCGCCGATTTTTGGGCCGCTAGCGGCGAAAATCGCACGGTTTTTGGCCGCTAGCGGCGAAAATCGCGCTATTTTTGGCCGGTAGCTGCGAAAATCGCGATTTTTGCCCGCCAGCTGCGAAAATCGCGCTGTTTTTGGCCGCTAGCGGCGAAAATCGCGCGGTTTTTGGCCGGTAGCGGCGAAAATCGCGATATTTTTGCCCGCCAGCTGGAAAAATCGCATAGTTTCTGGCCGCTAGTGGCGAAAATCGCGCGATTTTTGGCCGCTAGCGGCGAAAATCGCACGGTTTTTGGACGCTAGCGGCGAAAATCGCGCGGTTTTTGGCCGGTAGCGGCGAAAATCGCGATTTTTTTGCCCGCCAGCTGCGAAAATCGCTTGATTTTTGGCCGCTAGCGGCGAAAATCGCGCGGTTTTTGGCAGGTAGCGGCGAAATTCGCGCGATTTTTACCCGCCAGCTGCAAAAATCGAGTTTCTGGCCGCTAGCGGCGAAAATCGCGCTATTTTTGCCCGCCAGCTGCAAAAATCGCATTTTTGGCTGCTAGCTGCAAAAATAGCGCGGTTTCTGGCCGCTAGCGGCGAAAATCGCCCGATTTTTGGCCGCTAGCGGCGAAAATCGCACGGTTTTTGGCCGCTAGCGGCGAAAATCGCGCTATTTTTGGCCGGTAGCGGCGAAAATCGCGATTTTTGCCCGCCAGCAGCGAAAATCGCATGGTTTTTGGCCGCTAGCGGCGAAAATCGCGCGGTTTTTGGCCGGTAGCGGCGAAAATCGCGCTATTTTTGCCTGCCAGCTGCAAAAATCGCATAGTTGCTGGCTGCTAGCGTCGAAAATACCGCGGTTTTCGGCCGTTAGCGGCAAAAATCGCCCGATTTTTGGCCGGTAGCGGCGAAAATCGCACGGTTTTTGGCCGCTAGCGGCGTAAATCGCGCTATTTTTGGCCGGTAGCGGCGAAAATCGCGATTTTTGCCCGCCAGCTGCGAAAATCGCATGGTTTTTGGCCGCTAGCGGCGAAAATCGCGCGGTTTTTGGCAGGTAGCGGCGAAAATCGCGTGATTTTTACCCGCCAGCTGCAAAAATCGCATACGGTTTTTGGCCGCTAGCGGCGAAAATCGCGCTATTTTTGGCCGGTAGCGGCGAAAATCGCGATTTTTGCCCGCCAGCAGCGAAAATCGCATGGTTTTTGGCCGCTAGCGGCGAAAATCGCGCGGTTTTTGGCCGGTAGCGGCGAAAATCGCGCTATTTTTGCCTGCCAGCTGCAAAAATCGCATAGTTGCTGGCTGCTAGCGTCGAAAATAGCGCGGTTTTCGGCCGTTAGCGGCAAAAATCGCCCGATTTTTGGCCGCTAGCGGCGAAAATCGCACGGTTTTTGGCCGCTAGCGGCGTAAATCGCGCTATTTTTGGCCGGTAGCGGCGAAAATCGCGATTTTTGCCCGCCAGCAGCGAAAATCGCATGGTTTTTGGCCGCTAGCGGCGAAAATCGCGCGGTTTTTGGCCGGTAGCGGCGAAAATCGCGCTATTTTTGCCTGCCAGCTGCAAAAATTGCATAGTTGCTGGCTGCTAGCGTCGAAAATACCGCGGTTTTCGGCCGTTAGCGGCAAAAATCGCCCGATTTTTGGCCGCTAGCGGCGAAAATCGCACGGTTTTTGGCCGCTAGCGGCGTAAATCGCGCTATTTTTGGCCGGTAGCGGCGAAAATCGCGATTTTTGCCCGCCAGCAGCGAAAATCGCATGGTTTTTGGCCGCTAGCGGCGAAAATCGCGCGGTTTTTGGCCGGTAGCGGCGAAAATCGCGCTATTTTTGCCTGCCAGCTGCAAAAATCGCATAGTTGCTGGCTGCTAGCGTCGAAAATACCGCGGTTTTCGGCCGTTAGCGGCAAAAATCGCCCGATTTTTGGCCGCTAGCGGCGAAAATCGCACGGTTTTTGGCCGCTAGCGGCGTAAATCGCGCTATTTTTGGCCGGTAGCGGCGAAAATCGCGATTTTTGCCCGCCAGCTGCGAAAATCGCATGGTTTTTGGCCGCTAGCGGCGAAAATCGCGCGGTTTTTGGCAGGTAGCGGCGAAATTCGCGCGATTTTTACCCGCCAGCTGCAAAAATCGCATACTTTCTGGCCGCTAGCGGCGAAAATCGCGCGATTTTTCGCCGCTAGCAGCGAAAATCGCACGGTTTTTGGCCGCTAGCGGCGAAAATCGCGCTATTTTTGGCCGGTAGCGGCGAAAATCGCGATTTTTGCCCGCCAGCTGCGAAAATCGCATGGTTTTTGGCCGCTAGCGGCGAAAATCGCGCGGTTTTTGGCCGGTAGCGGCGAAAATCGCGCTATTTTTGCCTGCCAGCTGCAAAAATCGCATAGTTGCTGGCTGCTAGCGGCGAAAATCGCGCGGTTTTTGGCCGTTAGCGGCGAAAATCGCCCGATTTTTGACCGCTAGCGGCGAAAATCGCAGGGTTTTTGGCCACTAGCGGCGAAAATCGCACTATTTTTGGCCGGTAGCGGCGAAAATCGCGATTTTTGCCTGCCAGCTGCGAAAATCGCATGGTTTTTGGCCGCTAGCGGCGAAAATCGCGCGGTTTTTGGCCGGTAGCGGCGAAAATCGCGCTATTTTTGCCTGCCAGCTGCAAAAATCGCATAGTTGCTGGCTGCCAGCGTCGAAAATAGCGCGGTTTTCGGCCGTTAGCGGCAAAAATCGCCCGATTTTTGGCCGCTAGCGGCGAAAATCGCACGGTTTTTGGCCGCTAGCGGCGAAAATCGCGCTATTTTTGGCCGGTAGCGGCGAAAATCGCGATTTTTGCCCGCCAGCTGGGAGTGGGGGCGTCTGATCTTGGGCCACCAGCTGTGGGAGTGGGGCGTCTGATCTTGGGCCAGCAGCTGTGGGAGTGGGGGCGTCTGATCTTGGGCCACCAGCTGTGGGAGTGGGGCGTCTGATCTTGGGCCACCAGCTGTGGGAGTGGGGGCGTCTGATCTTGGGCCACCAGCTGTGGGAGTGGGGCGTCTGATCTTGGGCCACCAGCTGTGGGAGTGGGGCGTCTCATCTTGGAGTAATGTTTCTAACATTGGGTCTCTAACATTAGGATGATGTTCCACACCCTGATGGCTTGGTGCTGTAGTCTGATGTTTAGTGGCTGTGTGTTCAGGAGTTCCTGGAGCTCCTGGATTGTCTGGTCATACGGTGGACGGTGTTTGGCTGCTCTCCTTAGCGCCTTATTCTCCACTGCTTGTAGCTTTTGCATACTAGTGTTCTTTGAGAATATGTAGTGGTACTCGTCCTCCCACCTATTCCGTCTTTGACTCCCCTCCCACTCTACACTTCTCTTCTGTCCTCTTCCTTTCCCTACTTCTTCCCTCCCACTCCCTCCTCCCTCTCTGAGAGTGTCCCGGTCAGTGTTAAATTACCACAAGATGGAGAGCGTTCCATACATCTCCTGCCTCACACCGCCGGTCCCAGTGGCGGCTGTGTAGTTGAAGAGACGAGGAGGAGGAGAAAAGGTGGGATAGTGGTCTGGCGAGAAGTCTTGGTGAATAGGGGGTAGAGGGGAAAAGGAAAGAGACAGGACGCAACTATTTTTTTATTATTAATACATTTAGAAATACAATCATTAATGCAGCTAATCTAGGGGCCAGATTCACGAAGCAGTTACGCAAGCACTTACGAACGTGTACATCTTTCCTCAATCTTTGACGGCTTTGGTTACGTTTATTAAACAGTTTACAAGCTTGAGAATTGCCAATCACCTGTTGTTATTGTTACAAACAGCCTCCTGGTGCTTCGGAGCTCACTAACTGTTTAATAATTGTAAACAAAGCCGCCAAAGATTGAGAAAAGATGTACAGGTTCGAAAGTGCTTGCGTAACTGCTTTGTGAATCTGGGCTCCTAGACTATATGAAGGGGAGTACAGTGTGTGTCAAGAACTAGCTGCCTTATACTATTTGAAGGGGAGTACAGAGTGTGTCAAGAACTAGCTGCCCTATACTATATGAAGGGGAGTACAGTGTGTGTCAAGAACTAGCTGCCCTAGACTATATGAAGGGGAGTACAGTGTGTGTCAAGAACTAGCTGCCCTAGACTATATGAAGGGGAGTACAGTGTGTGTCAAGAACTAGCTGCCCTAGACTATATGAAGGGGAGTACAGTGTGTGTCAAGAACTAGCTACGTGATGCTAAACCTGCCCATCACACAGGATGGCTATAGTCACAGAGCCACGTGTTCAACACTGGCAAACTTAGGATGCATTATGAGGATATCAAGAACACGAAAGATAACGGTAATGTCTTCTCGCAGACACAACAACATAGGATAACAACCCCACACTTGTCTATTTGTGAAATTGATGCATAGAAATTGACAGCGAGTCTTTCGCGCTCTCCTGAGGGCTTTATCAAGGTCTGAGTGTGTGATTAGGACCAGACTTACATCTTAACGTCTAATCTAAACGCTGATTAGACGTTGAGATGTAAGTCTGGTCCTAATCACACAATCAGACCTTGACAAAGCACTCAGGAGAGCACGTAAGACTTGCTGTCAAATTCCATGCATCAATTTCACAAATAGACAAGTGGGAGTTTATAAGAGGCTTGCAAAGCTCCGAATCTGAGGAAGGTCTGAAGGGTCTGGGGGAGATCTGAAGGATCTGGAGGAGGTCTAAAGGATCTGGAGGTCTGGAGGGTCTGGGGGGGGGTCTGAAGGGTCTGGGGGAGGTCTGAAGGGTCTGGGGGAGGTCTGAAGGGTCTGGGGAAGGTCTGAAGGGTCTGGAGAAGGTCTGAAGGATCTGGAGGAGGTCTGAAGGGTCTGGGGGGGTCTGAAGGGTCTGGGGGGAGGTCTGAAGGGTCTGGGGGAAGGTCTGAAGGGTCTGGGGGAGGTCTGAAGGGTCTGGGGGGAGGTCTGAAGGGTCTGGGGGGAGGTCTGAAGGGTCTGGGGGGAGGTCTGAAGGGTCTGGAGGTCTGAAGGGTCTGGGGGAAGGTCTGAAGGGTCTGGGGGGAGGTCTGAAGGGTCTGGGGGGAGGTCTGAAGGGTCTGGGGAAGGTTTGAAGGGTCTGGGGGAGGTCTGAAGGGTCTGGGGGAGGTCTGAAGGGTCTGGGGGAGGTCTGAAGGGTCTGGGGGGAGGTCTGAAGGGTCTGGAGGAGGTCTGAAGGGTCTGGGGGAAGGTCTGAAGGGTCTGGGGGGAGGTCTGAAGGGTCTGGGGGGAGGTCTGAAGGGTCTGGGGGAAGGTCTGAAGGGTCTGGGGGAGGTCTGAAGGGTCTGGGGGAGGTCTGAAGGGTCTGGGGGAGGTCTGAAGGGTCTGGGGGGAGGTCTGAAGGGTCTGGGGGAGGTCTGAAGGGTCTGGAGGAGGTCTGAAGGATCTGGAGGAGGTCTGAAGGGTCTGGAGAAGGTCTGAAGGATCTGGAAGTCTGAAGGGTCTGGGGGGGGTCTGAAGGGTCTGCGGGGAGGTCTGAAGGGTCTGGGGGGAGGTCTGAAGGGTCTGGGGGGAGGTCTGAAGGGTCTGGGGGGAGGTCTGAAGGGTCTGGGGGGAGGTCTGAAGGGTCTGGGGGAAGGTCTGGGGGAGGTCTGAAGGGTCTGGGGGAAGGTCTGAAGGGTCTGGGGGGAGGTCTGAAGGGTCTGGGGGAAGGTCTGAAGGGTATGGGGGAGGTCTGAAGGGTCTGGGGGGAGGTCTGAAGGGTCTGAGGGAAGGTCTGGGGGAGGTCTGAAGGGTCTGGGGGAAGTCTGAAGGGTCTGGGGGAAGGTCTGAAGGGTCTGGGGGAGGTCTGAAGGGTCTGGGGGGAGGTCTGAAGGGTCTGAGGGAAGGTCTGGGGGAGGTCTGAAGGGTCTGGGGGAAGTCTGAAGGGTCTGGGGGAAGGTCTGAAGGGTCTGGGGGAGGTCTGAAGGGTCTGGGGGGAGGTCTGAAGGGTCTGGGGGAAGGTCTGAAGGGTCTGGGGGAAGTCTGAAGGGTCTGGGGGAAGTCTGAAGGGTCTGGGGGGAGGTCTGGGGGGAGGTCTGAAGGGTCTCGGGGAAGGTCTGAAGGGTCTGGGGGAGGTCTGAAGGGTCTGGGGGGAGGTCTGAAGGGTCTGGGGGAAGGTCTGAAGGGTCTGGGGGAGGTCTGAAGGGTCTGGGGGAGGTCTGAAGGGTCTGGGGGAAGTCTGAAGGGTCTGGGGGGAGGTCTGAAGGGTCTGTGGGAAGGTCTGAAGGGTCTGGGGAAGGTCTGAAGGGGGGGAGGTCTGAAGGGTCTGGGGGAAGGTCTGAAGGATCTGGGGGAGGTCTGAAGGGTCTGGGGAAGGTCTGAAGGGTCTGGGGGAAGTCTGAAGGGTCTGGGGGGGTCTGAAGGGTCTGGGGGGAAGTCTGAAGGGTCTGGAGGGGTCTGAAGGATCTGGAGGAGGTCTGAAGGGTCTGGGGGGGTCTGAAGGGTCTGGGGGAAGGTCTGAAGGGTGTGGGGGAAGGTCTGAAGGGTCTGGAGGTCTGAAGGGTCTGGAGGAGATCTGAAGGGTCTGGGGGAGGTCTGAAGGGTCTGGAGGAAGTCTGAAGGGTCTGGAGGAGATCTGAAGGGTCTGGGGGAAGTCTGAAGGGTCTGGAGGAGATCTGAAGGGTCTGGGGGAGGTCTGATATAGAGGCCAGGGGGGAGGGAATGACCCAGTTCCTGCTCCCAGAGCTGCTACAGTGTCTTCAAGGCGGTCGGTGATATCTCTGCGGTGTTGGAGGTTCGTGTCTGCTTCCCGCGTTCGTGTCTGCTCCCCCGGGTCACGGTTCTCGCTCTCAGCGCCCCTGGGGGAGGACTGTAGGGGCTCTGCTGGGGGCTGGAATGGCCCGAGTCGAACTGGAGAGACCTGATCAGGGGATTAAAAAGAGCACATGAGAGCAGGAAAAGGTCGATAAGAGTTTAAAACAGTGGTAAACAGAGGTGAACAGTGGTGAACAGAGGTGAACAGGTGAACAATGGTAAACAGAAGTGAACAGGTGAACAATGGTAAACAGAGGTGAACAGGTGAACAATGGTAAACAGAGGTAAACAATGGTAAACAGGTGAACAAGGGTAAACAGAGGTGAACAGGTGAACAAAGGTAAACAGGTGAACAATGGTAAACAGAGGTAAACAGGTGAACAAGGGTGAACAATGGTAAACAGAGGTGAACAGGTGAACAATGTTTATCATTGTTTACCATTGTTCACCTGTTCACCTCTGTTTACCCCTTATATATATATATATATATATATATATATATATATATATATATATATATATATATATATATATATATATGTCGTACCTAGTAGCCAGAACTCACTTCTCAGCCTACTATGCAAGGCCCGATTTGCCTAATAAGCCAAGTTTTCATGAATTAATTGTTTTTCGACTACCTAACCTACCTAACCTAACCTAACTTTTTAGGCTACCTAACCTAACCTATAAAGATAGGTTAGGTTCGGTCATATATCTACGTTAATTTTAACTCCAATGAAAAAAAATTGACCTCATACATAATGAAATGGGTAGCTTTATCATTTCATAAGACAAAAATTAGAGAAAATATATTAATTCAGGAAAACTTGGCTTATTAGGCAAATCGGGCCTTGCATAGTAGGCTAAGAAGTGCGTTCTGGCTACTAGGTACGACATATATATATATATATACATATATATATATATATATATATATATATATATATATATATATATATATATATATATATATATATATACATATATATATATATATATATATATATATATATATATATATATATATATATATATATATATATCACCAGCATATATATATAGGTGGTGAAAATACCACCATGGGAGGTGGTGACGATACCACCACCACCAGCACCATGGGTGGTGGTGGTGGTAGCAACAAGCACTAACCAAACACCGCGGCGGCTCTCCGCCAATAAGAGCCGAGAATAATGTCAATAAAAACAATAACAAACACTGATTACGTCACCGATGTTGCCAACCTGCGGTCACCGATTTCGCCCGTTTATAAAGACGAACCCATTGTTTCCCCTCCTTACCGATATATATATATATATATCTACATATATACATTCCCTAACAGGTCAATGCGCCAAGCACACATATGTCGTAACTTTAACAACCTTCCCGTTTATAATACATATTCCGTTTACCACAGAAAACGGAAGTCAACAAACATTTTCGGCGCGCAAATTTCAAACTGAGTTAAACCGGCCTAACGACCGAAGGTAGTCTAAAAAGCTGTCGCTATGGCGTCATATCTCTGCCTACCGCACGGAGATAAACCATCACGGAGCTATCATTTGACGGCCAGATAGAGAGAGACACATGTCGTCACTTTCAATATTTGATGAACTATAACAGCTTTGCTCAATCGGCGGCGGACTGGTAACAATGTGTGAGAAGCGGCAGATTATCGGCAACTTTCGCCACACCGAAACCATACGGTGTCATCACACTGCCTCTTAGCAATAATATATATATATATATATATATATATATATATATATATATATATATATATATATATATATATATATATATATACACACACACAAGCCAGGGGACAGTAAGCCAGGTATAGATGTGGTGAAGGTCAACTTTTTTTTTTAAAAAAGCTGCCATTGACAATGCTTAAGCCTCCCCTACCCACCCCTACCCCCCCCCCTCTGGCACCTCCTCTCTCTTCTGGCACTCCCTCCTCCTGGCACCTCCTCAGCCCCCCCCCCTGTTCTCGCACCCTGCTCCCCCTTCTATCCGAAACTCAGTCTCTGTCCCAGAAGTCTTTCCTCTTTTTCTGTCTAGGGTTTCGAGCATCCCCTTCTCCCTCCTCCCCCCCCCCCCTCTCCCATGTCCTAGGGACCCTAGGACTCTGGTAACGGGGGGGGGGGTCCTAGGAAGAGGGGGTGGGGGGGGGATGTGGTGGAGGGGGGATAGACAGAAGGTGGTGTACGAAACAGAAGTAACGTTAGTGAATAAGGTGTTAGCGTGGAGGACTTAAGTGTACGTCCAACGTGGAGGACTTAAATGTACGTCCAACGTGGAGGACTTAAGTGTACGTCCAAGAACTCACTCTGCAGCAATCCCTCTCAGCTGTCACTCAACTGTCACTCGACTGTCAATGTCACCCGACTGTCACCAAACTGTCACTGTCACCCAACAACTGTCACTGTCACCAAACTGTCACTGTCACCCAAACTGTCACTGTCACTCAAATCTCACTGTCACTCAACTGTCACACATCAGATATGTGGTCGTGGGACCTCCTAGGACATATGTGGGGTGTGTGTATGTGGGGGACACCCCCCCCCAGACAGACGTATGAGGGGACACCACCTCCACAGACGGGTGAGGGGACACCCCCCCCAGACAGACGGGTGAGGGGACACCCCCCCCCCCAGACAGACGGGTGAGGGAGGAGACAGACAGACAGAGACGTGTAAGAGTGACGTGCTCACGACCCACACTGGTCCTCCGCGACGGGGGTCAGTCAGGCGGTCGCGGCGTTGATGGGGTAGCATTTGTGGGCGGAGATCTGCGCGAGGGGGCAGACAGGCGCGGGGGTTGAGACAGGCGCAGGGGAAGGCAATAGGCGCGGGGAGGGACAGGGGGACAGGGAGCGGGGGGGGGGGGGCCTACAATTGAGGCGTGAAAGGCAATTCGCGCGTGGCGCCGACACACCCGTGAATGCCGACGAGCGCGCGAACACTGGCAGGTGTGTGGCGCCAGAGACGGGCGTTTCGCGTAGACAGTGGCACGCACACGTGGGCAGTGACAGGCGTGTATAGACAGTGGCACGCACACGTGGGCAGTGACAGGCGTGTATAGACAGTGGCACGCACGTAGACAGTGACAGGCACGTGGACAGTAGTGACAGGTGTGTGTGTGTGACAAGTGCGTGGAAGCACTCAAAACACGTGGATGCCGACAGGCGGCTGGAAGCACTCAGGCACATGGATGCTGACAGGTACGTGGTGGGTGACAGGTACGTGGTGGGTGACAGTCACGTGGTGGGTGACAGGCACGTGGTGGGTGACAGGCACGTGGTGGGTGACAGGTACGTGGTGGGTGACAGTCACGTGGTGGGTGACAGGCACGTGGTGGGTGACAGGCACGTGGTGGGTGACAGGTACGTGGTGGGTGACAGTCACGTGGTGGGTGACAGGTACGTGGTGGGTGACAGTCACGTGGTGGGTGACAGGTACGTGGTGGGTGACAGGCACGTGGTGGGTGACAGGCACGTGGTGGGTGACAGGCACGTGGTGGGTGACAGTCACGTGGTGGGTGACAGTCACGTGGTGGGTGACAGGCACGTGGTGGGTGACAGGCACGTGGTGGGTGACAGGCACGTGGTGGGTGACAGGTACGTGGTGGGTGACAGTCACGTGGTGGGTGACAGGCACGTGGTGGGTGACAGGCACGTGGTGGGTGACAGGTACGTGGTGGGTGACAGTCACGTGGTGGGTGACAGGCACGTGGTGGGTGACAGGCACGTGGTGGGTGACAGGCACGTGGTGGGTGACAGGTACGTGGTGGGTGACAGTCACGTGGTGGGTGACAGGTACGTGGTGGGTGACAGGTATGTGGTGGGTGACAGGCACGTGGTGGGTGACAGGCACGTGGTGGGTGACAGGTACGTGGTGGGTGACAGTCACGTGGTGGGTGACAGGTACGTGGTGGGTGACAGGTATGTGGTGGGTGACAGGCACGTGGTGGGTGACGCACGTGGTGGGTGACAGGCACGTGGTGGGTGACAGGCACGTGGTGGGTGACAGGCACGTGGTGGGTGACAAGCACGTGGTGGGTGACAGGTACGTGGTGGGTGACAGGTACGTGGAGGGTGACAAGCACGTGGTGGGTGAGTCACGTGGTGGGTGACAAGCACGTGGTGGGTGACAGGCACGTGGTGGCCGACAGTCACGTGGGTGCCGACAGTCACGTGGAGGCCGACAGTCACGTGGTGGCCGACAGTCACGTGGAGGCCGACAGTCACGTGGTGGGAGACAGTCACGTGGTGGGTGACAGGCACGTGGTGGGTGACAGGCACGTGGTGGGTGACAGGCACGTGGTGGGTGACAGGCACGTGGTGGGTGACAGGCACGTGGGTGACAGGTACGTGGTGGGAGACAGGCACGTGGTGGGAGACAGGCACGTGGTGGGTGACAGTCACGTGGTGGGTGACAGGCACGTGGTGGGAGACAGGCACGTGGTGGGTGACAGTCACGTGGTGGGTGACAGGCACGTGGTGGGTGACAGTCACGTGGTGGGAGACAGTCACGTGGTGACCGACAGTCACATGGTGGGTGACAGGTACGTGAATGACAGTCACGTGGTGGGTGACAGAGCGGATATTGAGAGTGTATGGCTAATTATAGTGAGGGGCTGTGACAGGTGTAAGGTGGACTCACCTAGTTGTGCTTGCGGGGGTTGAGCTCTGGCTCTTTGGTCCCGCCTCTCAACCGTCAATCAACTGGTGTTCAGATTCCTGAGCCTACTGGGCTCTATCATATCTACACTTGAAACTGTGTATGGAGTCAGCCTCCACCACATCACTGCCTAATGCATTCCACCTGTTAACTACTCTGACACTGAAAAAGTTCTTTCTAACGTCTCTGTGGCTCATTTGGGTACTCAGTTTCCACCTGTGTCCCCTTGTTCGTGTTCCACCCGTGTTAAAGATTTGTATTTGACTTCTCTGTCAATTCCCCCCAGAATTTTGTAGGTGGTGATCATGTCTCACCTTACCTGTGTGGTGTAGGTAATGACGGTCATGCGGTTTGTGTCAGGTGTGTGTGGGCAATGGTAGTTGTGGTCCTTGTCACGACTACCACCACCCACACACCTGGAGATGGCTTGTGGGCGTGCGGGCGGCGGTGGTGGGCGTGCGGGTGACAGTAGGGGTTCGAGCGGCCGTGGGCGTGCGGGCGGCGGTGGTGGTGGGCGTGCGGGCGGCGGTGGTGGGCGTGCGGGTGGCGGTGGGCGTGCGGGCGGTGGCGGTGGGCGTGCGGGCGGCGGTGGTGGGTGTGCGGGCGGTGGCGGTGGGTGTGCGGGCGGCCGCCGTGGTGGGCGTGCGGGCGGGCGGGCGGGCGGCGGAGGGGGATGGGCTTACGGCAACACCGTCGCCACAGCTGACCAGAGGCCAGACGATCGATATCGTGAAGAGTCGCGCGAGCACTCCTCCTCCTCCTCCTCCTCCTCCATCCTTCCGTTATCCTACATCCTCCTTTCGTCACCCTCCTTCACCTTTCATTCTCATTCATACTTGTTCCGCTTTCCATTCTTTGCCCTCTATTTTTTTCTGGTATATTTTCAATTCTTCGTCACTCCTATTATCTTGATTCCTCTTTCTTGCGTTCTCTATGTTTTCCTTATCATCCTAATCCTCGGCACTCTCCTTCCTCACTGTTGTATGGTTTGAGTCATCCTTACACTCTCCTTGCATTATAAATGTATTTTTTCTATGGCCCCTTCCTTAATTATCCACTAATATTCCATTGTTTCCCTCTATTATATTCGCCTCTCTCTTCTCTCTCTCTCTCTCCCTCCCTCCCACACTTTTCATTCATGATATCCCGCTCTCCTCTCACCTGATATTTATTTATTTTTTTATTTTTTGTTTCACCACCCCCTCCCCCTCTCTCTCTCTCTCACCACGTGTCATGAAGTGATGGTATTTTTGGTGTGTGTGTGTGTGTGTGTGTGTGTGTGTGTGTGTGTGTGTGTGTGTGTGTGTGTGTGTGTGTGTGTGTGTGTGTGTGTGTGTGTGTGTGTGTGTGTGTGTGTGTGTGTGTGAGTGTGTGTGCGCGCGCGCCTATCCGTGCTGTCTCACAGTAGCTATTGATAAAAAATATAAATAAATGTTTGTATACGTTTCCCTTGCTACGACCCCACGTCCAACCCCTCTCTTTCTCTCTTTCCCTCTTTTTTTCCCCTCACACACACACACACGTTCAGTGTCCCTTCCCCCTCTCTCTCTCTCTTTCTTGTTGTGTCTTCTCTTCCTACTATCCCCTTGACCACTTACCTAAGACAGCGCATGTACTCTGTCAGTTTCTTCTAAGATAAGCACTTATCCTTGGCTATCTTGATGCAGCGGAGGCTTATACATTCACAGCCATCAAGCCTATTGGTGTCCTCGGAACCCACTTAGCGCAATTCCTTCGCTGGTAGCCTCCTTATAAAATATAAAGGGATTGAGTGCTGCGATTCGCACGCGAGTCTGGCTTAGCGCGGCGGCGCCCCGCTCTTCTTGTCCTTATTGTTGAATAGTGGGGAGCGGCAACGATGCAGCCCACATCGCTGGCTTCTATATTCATATTACGCAATCTCTCTCTCTCTCTACCTCCCCCCCCCCGTTTGTCATGCTTTGTCATACCCATCTCTCGCATCCATATTTGATTACATATATACACACACACACGCGCGTGCAAATATATTTGTAATGTTTGATAGTATTTTGAGGATTGGTTTTATGCACTGGCGGTCCGTAGTAAGCTGGATTCATGCATATCGCTGCGTTGATTAAATATTATGAGTGATCTCTTTACTGCAGGCGTACGTACATAATGATCTGTGAAGCTATCTCGAGTAACTAATGTATGTTATACGAGAGAGAGTTTTATTTCATATAATTGGATAAGTTAGCACGAGTTGTTTTCTCATGAGCCTCATTGGTGATTCTGGAAAGGGCTACAGGGAGGGGTCCTCATGTGACGGGGGTGCGATTGTAACGCGGCAAATATGCCAGCGGCCACTATTTAGATGATTCCATGTCCGGAGTCGGTACCTTTTTCTATGTCATTTGGACTGGCTGATTATTTCACTTATTTTCATATACTTTCCTATTACATGTTGTATTATAATATAATTAACATATTTAATATAATTAGATATTATAATATATTATAAACCGCGAAGAAGTCGCCATTGCGCATCCTCAGCATACTCACGTACGTCTTTCTTACCCTTACAGGCGCACCGGATGAGCCAAGCAGCCTGGTTGGTGGCTTAAGAATCGGGCCTCGTGACGTAGCGCCGCCCTATTGGCCGCCACTACCTCTCGCTCCGCCCTCCATGCATCCTCCGCCAATCGGCGCGCTCCCTACCGCAATGGCTCACGACGAAGAAAGCGATTGCTTCATGCTAGGAGAAAAGCTGTCGAAGAAACCGAAACGGATCAGAACAAGAGTAGACGCCGGAGAGCCAAGGAACTCTTACTCGGCCTTCAGTAGTTTACCCAACTTGTGTGGTGTTAGTGTTAATGCAGTCAGGCCGGGAAGTGCTCCTAACCTCTTCAGTGCAAGTCAACCCTTTTGTGGACTACCATTTGTGAACTATTTCAACCCCCCACCCACGGTGGGTTCGCGCGGTATGCTAAGTGAGTTGTTCGGCGCCCACACCAAGCCTGTGGCGCCCTGCCCGCCTGAAGACACAGTGTCAAACATGGGTGTGTTGGACAAAGTGACGAGCTCTAGCGTCCATAGTGCTGATGCGGTGAACTCTGTGATTCGGGGGCCGGAGCCTGATAACGTGCTCTTGCGGGAAATCCTCCAGGGACGTAAACGGGACCTTCTTACTATGGAGGAGATAGAGGCCGCCCGCTCCTTACACAACAATAATAATAGTTACAAGGGGGCGACGGACTCTGTAGAGGCCAACAACGAGGAGACTAACGCGGGCAGGGATGAGAACAGCGTCTCGGCGGAGGACGCGCGCTGTGAGTCCGAGGTGGAGGAGACTATGAGTCAGAACAGTCCGCGCACAGACTCCCCAGAACCCAGGAAACGTCTGGAGAATATCGTGAGTGTGATCCGCTCCTCCCCCACCCCAAACACCACCGTCAACGGCTGCAAGAAGCGCAAACTCTACCTCCCGCAGCAGCACGAGACGCGCCCCAACTACGACTCCCAGAACGAGGAGGGCGAGGCTGCGGCCGAGCCTGACAACAAGACCAGACGGCTGGACGAGGACGAGCAGGCCGAGTCGAGGGTGGGCGAGGGCGGCGAGGAGGGGGGCCTCCAGATTGACCTGAGTGTCAGAAGACGCTCCCCAGAGCCTCAGCGCCCACCCTCCCCGAAGCCTCCCACCTCCACCTCCTCCAACGACTCCAACGACGCCTCCTCCTACCTCCTGGATTACGCCCAGCGATTAATACGCAACCAAGAGGCCCGATTACAGAGAGAAAACGACATGAAGAACACGGATCTGAACGAGAAGTTGCAGCTGCTGCGGAACTTGAGTCTGGGGTCGCAGGTGACGGACCTGGAGGGCCTGGCCGACGTGCTCAAGACGGAGATCACGGCGTCTCTGGCCGTCATCATCGACACCATAGTCAACAAGTACGTGCAGCAGAGAAAACTGCTCACCAAGCAGGCGGAAGTGGCCGCCGAGCAGCTCAACCGGGATATTGCCTCGCAGCTGATGGAGCGGTCTCGGTCCCCGCGGTCTCACAAGATGCTCGACTCCAGAGGGCCTCCCAACATGCCCAGGCTCAACGGCATGCCCGCCCCCCACGGCCCCCTCAACCTCTCCCCCTACCCTGGCTCCGAGAACAACCTCAATAACCTCAATCTGCCCCACCTCCGGCCGCCCCTCTATAAGCCCCCACACGGGTTCTTCCACGGCAATCTGCCCCCCATGGGCGGCATGATCCCCAGTGGGCAGTCGTCCCCCTACGGCGGGATGGAGCCCGAGCAGGACGAAGCCCTACCGCTAGTGGTGACGCCCAAGAAGAAGCGTCACAAGGTGACGGACTCTCGCCTCACGCCCCGGACCGTAGGACGCCTCCTGGAGGACTTCCCCCGCTACGGTCCCTTGCCAGGGATGGGTGGGCAGACGTCCCCTCGCAGCTCCCCTCCCCCGCCGCCCATGAACCACCACCCACACCACCGCCCCACCTCCTTCCCCCAACCCCCGCCCCTCCTGCCAGTGTCGCTACCCACCTCCGTCGCCATCCCCAACCCATCCTTGCACGACACCAGTTTACTATACCCAAGTTACTACGGCGGGCACCGGGCGTCGTCCCCCATGGACGGGCGGCGGGAGGAGTCCCCCGCGGGGCCCCCGCCACCGCACCCCCACCCGCTCCTACACCCGGCGCTCCTCGCAGCCTCCTCGCCGGACTCCTTCTCTCGCTTCCTTCACGGCGCCGACCACGACCGCGCCTCCGACTGCTCGCCGGCGGACCCACACTACGACGGAGTGCAGCCTACTATATCCTTTTATTCACCTGAACGTAAATATCAAATCCAACCGTTTGTTTTGTGTGTTTTGCTTCGCAGAAAGTTGCTTGTGTATCTCTCTCTCTGTCTCTCTCTCTCTCTCTCGTCCTCTCACACACACACACACGTCAGGTCACTCTCACGTCTCCTCACTCTTAGTGTTACTAAGTCATTCAAAACCACAGTGACACCGGGCCAAGTTATCGAGAAGTTTATGTTAGTGTCCCTGGCACTCCCTCTGATGGCTGTCCCTCCCCCAACAACCCCCCCTTCAGCATGTCCCCCTCCCCCACACACCCCCACCAACAGTGCCACCATCACCGTCTACCTACACCCCTCACACGCTAACTCATTACCTCACACGTCAGTGTAGGTGTCAACACCCTCCTCAGTGTTCCTGAATCAATCCTCCCTCAGTCGTGCTGAGTCAGTCAGTCATCTCTTATAATGTGATCCAATAATTCCTCGCTACTTTCTCTCCTCCTCTCCCTCTCTCTCTCTCTCTCCCTTCTTATCTTCCACGTGTCATTTGTTTCCTAGCCATCTTTCCTTGCTTCTCGGTATCTTTCTTGTCTCTACCTTTCTTCCCCCTTCATTATCATAGATTCACTCCATTATCTCCTGTGTTTTGTCCTCGCTTTCCCTTCCTCTTCTTATCTCCTGTTTCCACATAAAAACACTCATTTCAAAGTTATCTGTGTCTGTAATACATCTTTCAATTCTGCTTATGGCAACCACATAACTATTTGACCTGCAAACTATCTCCCAAGTCTACCCCCAAAACCCATCTCTCTAGTGATGGATATCATTAACATAAATCAACCTCTTATCTCCTATCTCATTTACAAAACAAGAATCCATGCTCTGTGGTCAAGTCATGTTATCCTCCTGGATAAAAAAAAAATGTTCCAATGTGTTTACAAATGCCGCAGTGTAAATAATACAATAGAGGGGCTTATTTTATTATTTAGATTGTCTCATTTCTTCTCTCGGGGTGATATTGGAGGGTGATATCAGGGTGATATTACCTTGTTTTTACCTTAATTTCCCTGCTTGGACCTTTGCCTTAGTCTTGCCTATCTGTGTGCTTCATATTTTACCCCTGCTTTTTTTTTACCTTAGTGATCTCACTTTGATTCTGTTATAGTCATATTATTCCCACTACCTAAGTGTTTACCTAAGATTAGTTACTCTAAGAATAGTTATATCTGTCCACTGTATACCCAAGTCACTTCCCTTACCTTGAGGCTGCACATTGGTTACCCTAATGATGTGTGTCACTTACCTCTATCTGTAATTTACCTCAGTGCACATAATATCCCTGTCTACTAATAATTTCCTTATTTACCTAAGGGTTTATAATCTCCCTTTTCATTATCCTTAGTGCTAAATTACCTCCCTCACCATCTTCCTCAGTGTTCCTCCTACCTCATCATCTCCCTAAGTGTTCCCCATCTCCCATTTATTTGCCTCAATGTTCCCTCATCTTCCAATCATTTACCTCAGTGTTCATTCCTTCTTCTACCTAAGTGAACAGCATCTCCTAATGTTTATCATGCTCCCCAAAATCTCTACCTCAATGTTCATCATCTTACCTTCCTGATAATTACCTTACCTCATCATCTTACCCCTTGTGATGTTCATTTGAACCTACCTTAGCGCCTAGTGTTTACCTTAGTGTTCCCCATCACTACCTCCAGTGGCCGTGTGTTCCCCTCCCCCTCCCCCTCCCTTAGTGATTACCCAACCCCCATGAAGCTATCTTCCCCCTACCATTGATCTCTTATGTTTCCCTTAATGGTCCTCGTTACCTTCTTCTGGCTACGTTACCTCCATTGCTTCGTTTTTCACTCTCAGGGGCTCACAATTTCCCCTTCAATTTACCTCAAAATCCAGGACTTTCCTGCACGTTACCTTAATAACATTACACGTCTTGCCTAAATAATTCACGCCACTCTACTGCCTACCTTAATGCAGGCCTCTGCCGTAATGTTTACCTAAATGCTAACGTGTTGCCTTTCCTAATTAGGTAGATTGACATATTACCCATTTCCGCACTGGCTGTGTAGGCCTATTTTACCCCAAGTGTTACTGACCTCATTTGTAAGCTGCGTTAGGCCTA